CTAAGGAGTAAAATTTATGTACTCAAGTTTTTGGGATTAATTTGGGATTAAACGGGTATGAAAAGTAAGCAGTTTGTGGCCTCTTCATCAAAATCTTTTAACATATAGTAAATATCAATTGTTAGATAAATTATATGTGAAACAGGCTCAGTAGCATTAGAGCCGGATTCTTGTTTATATTGAACATTGTTATTGAACCGCATGTTTAACGGCGCTAGTGTTCTTAAATTGTTTACCACGGTTTCATTTTTAACAACACTATCGTAACACTTATCGTATTTTGTACGATGTCTTCTTTACACTTTCACCCCATGGATATCTGTTTCCTACAGTTAGCTGTAATGTTAGTGAACTCTAGGTCTTCTCTTTTTCATATATGACAGTATTCACATGGCTTGATTTAATAAATGGTGGTTTAAACCATCGTCTTCACTTGAGACATATACCATCCTAGTTTTTAAATAGCACTTCATTGTATATTTTAACCCTTTATGCAGATATAAAATACAGATCTCTGAAATGTTTTTTCGTGTAAAACATCTATGTAGGTCGTGTACAAAATCTATGTAAATCTATCTATGTTTTTAAAAATATGGCGAAGCAAAGAATGAAGACATCTTTCAATAAGTGACCCTCAAAATCTTGGCATACAAGAAAACGCAGTACATTATCAGAAAATTACTTTTATCGCTTTTTCTGAATAATCTCACCAAGTGCGGGTGCTTGATAACTGTTATCGAGCGGTAATGACGTGTTTTATGCGATATTGATATCACGTTTTAATTTCAACTCGATAAATTTGAATGCGCTAAAGGTTTATAACTGAACGTCTTAATAGTGGGTAAAAGTTAACTTAAAGCCCTAAAAATTAACTTACACCCTATCCACTTTCCAAACGCTTGTTACGGAGCTTATTGCAAACATTCACGCATCCATATGTTTTAAAATATATATTTAAGTGTAATTAATAGAATTCTCTCTGGCGGCATATGCATAACTTCTCCTTGACTTTACTTCTGATTCAATGAGGCTTTAATCCTTTATAGCCTTTTACGACGTCATGACCACGACACCCCCTCCAGCGGGGGTTAGGGCGGACCATAATCGCAGGGCTGATAAATTTACACAGAACCCATTCTCAGTCATCACACACAACCCCTGGCGCTAGCTCTAATAGTCGCGGACTGCTGTGCTAAAATGTAATTGTAAAATTTAAAGTTTTACACATCTGAAATTCAAGGTACATTATATTTTAAAAAAGTGTTCTTATAGCTAAAATCAATGTCTTTATTCATAAATATGATCTCGTTGGTGTAAAATTAGCTCTGACAATGATCTGACGGGTGAGTCCATGGAGGCCACAATGTCGTCCATCTTGAAAAACTACAAAAAAAAAAAAAAAGCACTAGTCACCACAACACATTTTCATTCAGAACCGGCTGACTGAAACCATCTGAAGCGACCAAGGAGGTCAGTGAGAGGCGCTTGAAAGGCCGCACTGCATGGTCGGTGCTTCATAATGCAATCCTCGTAGTTATGATAAAGCTTAAACATTTAATCTAAAAGGAAACGTGACTGGCAAATTCAAAATGAGGGTAAATATCGGGATGGGTTTTCCCAGGTGGATAGAGCTAATGAAGGAGAAAGTCTTTGAAAGAGACGCTGAAGTCCTGCTTTCTTCTCGACAGGTAAGTCAATGTTACGGTCTAAATTACAAGGTTGTGTAATTCATTATATAGGCGGCGTAACGGTAGAATGTGTATAGTTAAACTCAAAAAAGTGCTATTGGATGACATGTCGTAGCTTCTCGGCACATTACGGTCACCGTAGTCGCAACACGCATTTCAAAAAACGCGGCGCTAGAGAGCACTATGGCTGCGTCCAAAACCGCATACTCAATGAGTAGGTACTTAATTTCAATAAGTACTTACTCAACGAGCGCTATAGAGTAGGTACTTTATAGCCAAATCTCGTTGAGTATGAATGAGAACCGGACATCTGCCATGTTGACGTTATCATGTGACCTACTACGACGTGTTATCATCATATCACAAGCGCAAAGAAATGAACAGCGACACGTTTAATTCTTCTATCTATAAATATCTTGACATTGATGAAACTTTCTCATTTTGTTGTGGTATTGTTGAAGAAACAGCTGATATTTTTTTTATTAAGAAACCCCCAAATCGTCACCTCTTGAATATATGTTGTTAATTTCTTTATTTTTTTTTACCCAAAGTTTTCCTCCTTTTCTTGATGAATTTACCTCGTTTCATCCCTCAGACCTATAACAACAAAACAACAACATTTTTCATATATTATGAAGAACTATTTAAAGATATTTAGCCTTGTTATTGTTCCTTTTTCCTGTATTATGATGTAAACAAACCAATGATCTTTATGTTTTCTGTTTTGTCATTATGACTATTATGGTATCTTTCCATGATCTTGTATGTAATACGTTTATAAGTTTAAAATTATGAGTGACAGGTGTACTAACACTTCATAACATCAGTGACTCGACAGCACAACCTAGAACAGTTTTCCCCTGCGTTTGTAATGTCTGCACAAAGGAGACGGGCAGCTGCTCGAAGATCTCTTTTGGAGAAAACTGTTGATTTTATACTCGAAAAATGTAAGTATCACTCCTTAAAAATTAATATTACCTCAGAATGAATTGCATTGTTAGCCCACCCCAAAACTTAAACAAAATAATAATATTAAATGCTGACCAATACTTAATTATATAACTTTTTTATATACTAAAAATATAATTTAATATAACAAGCAAAATGTAATTTGTTTTGTCATATGACAGTTATGCATGGATAAATTTATATTCATAAATGCAGTGAAACATCTCAATTATCAGTCAATCGATGAATTAATGGATACATTAATTAAATAATTCAATTTTATATACTGACAACAATAATAAAAATGAATAAATGAGTAAAAGAACAAATAAAAGTAACCATCACAATAAACAAATGCATTATACAAGTCAACAACACATGAAACAAAGCTTTATTCAAACTACAAACATGTATTTACAGGGCTGAACACCACATCCTAATGCCGTCTCAACACAGCGGTTCCCATTCTGCGGCTTTATTCTGATGAATTCACCAGAGGGGACTGTGCCTTCGTCCCGGAGCTTGTTGCTGCGCTGCGCTTCACAATCTGAGGCAATAAGGGCAGGTGGAGAGATAGAGGGTCTTGTAAGGGCAGGTGGACAGATGGAGCGTCTCATCCATGGCACCACTTCCAGGATGCAGCTCTAGGCTCCTCATCCTCAGTGCTCACACCAGTCTGCAGACATTTCAGATCCTACAAAAATGCACAAACATTATACAAAAGCAGTAATTTTAACACAATGTCATTTGATTTATGTATTAAAAATAACCTTACTTTATATTTGAGTAAAATCCCTAAAACAAATGCTGCCATCATCTTTCCTTGCAGGTCTTGCTCCACCACAAAAGCTATGCAGCAAATGCACAGAAATCAAGAATCAGAAAAGTGTTGTAATTTCTCTACTTGAAATTTGTACAATAATTCAAATAAACTACAATTTAAGATTGAATAGATTTTGTTATCCATTTCTGTAGTATACTCACTCAGAGCCTTTCATGACAGCATTCAGCATCATGAGCCTCTCTCCAGCAGCAGATAAACACACGCGTGTTCTTCTGTCCTTGTAACATACAGACAAGATTCACATTACGAGCTCAACACTGAATTTACATGCTGAGGTTGATGTGTTAACTCACTTTTAATCCAACTTAAATGTTCCTTAATATATCAACACTAATAAGGGACAAATTAAGTATAACATATTTAGTTACTTTATAGATTTGTTTATTTACCGTATTTACAGCACATTTGTCTAATGTAAGTAGTGTTTGTTGACAACAGTGAATTATCCTTCATAATAGCACATATAACGTTACATCACTGTATGTGATGTGCTCATCTGCAATACTTAAACAATATTTTCATTTCAGATGTAAATAGACATTTTAAATAAGCGTGTTTAAGATGTAACGTTATATGGTTATGTAAATCCATTTTAGAAACTTACGTGTAGCGTACTTACTGGAGCTCCCCTGTTTAACTAACTAATAAAACATGTGTTTACACCAAAATCACAACTATACTATACTGTCTAAGTCCTTTAGACCAGTCATTCCCAAAGGCGGGGTCCCGACCCACAAGTGGGTCGCGGGAGATTTTGTATGGGTCGCCAAGTCGAGCACTATTTTTCAGTTTTCTATAGGCTACTATCTAGATCAGGGCTATTCAATTGGCGGCCCGCGGACCAAGTGCGGCCCGCCAATCATCTCCATACGGCCGAGGGCACCCCAACCTCCCGCCTCCTATTTTCTGTTGGTGCGGTTTAATTTGGTTACACTGTAAAACCTAACAGTTGTACTAGCTCATAACTAATGAGGTCATTACAGTCAAATGTCCTTATGCAGTTGAACAAACTATTAAGTATTGAGCTCTGTTGACATTTATGCCACTTTAATTGAATAGGGCTCAAAATTTGATAGTTAATTTGTGTGGATCACTCAAAAAGTTTAGGAGTAGTGGCATGACGTTAATGACGTCATGACGTGGTGGGTGGGTCTTATCTCTGCCTCAGGAAAGCTAAGTCAGCCATCTTGAATTTGCTTTCATGCGGAGAAGTTTTCATGGAAGTTTTTACAGTTTAATTTGTTTTTATTCGTTTGCAATGCATTTTTTATCCCCTCACTTCAAACCACGACCTCAGTTTTTTCATCTTTGACCTGCCGTCATTTCAGCGCCGTCTTATCAGTCCTGATTTGGTAAGTAATGCTAACATTTTTTGTTGTTGTTGTTTTTAATTGAATTTCGATAAATAGTCTTACATTTGGAACTGGGAATACATGTATATAATATGCACAGTGAATATTTGTTGTAAATAGTTTACAAATCCGAGTAATTGTAACTAAAAATGTTTGAATCTAAACAACGGTGTACAGTTGGCGGGTTTCCGGAAGAACTACATTTCACATAATGCATGTTTTCCCGGGACATTGACGTAGAGGAACGACCGTGAGTTTGAATTTTCTCGTGGAGTCCGAAACGCTCCTATATGGTCCGAAAGCATAACGTTAACTTATCCCTGCTTGACAGTTTCTGCCGGCTGTTGTTTTCGCTGGTAATGCATGTAAAGTAACGTTTACTTATTTGTAAGTGTCCGCGTTAAACAGTAAGTATTTCACGTTGACAAGCTGTGTGTGTGTGTGCAGCGTGAATCTAACAATGCTAAACAACATAATGTCAGTGTGTTATCATGAAACCAACAAGGTCTTTGTGTGTATTTCTTTCCAGGCTCGAGTGTTTGGTTGTGAGATGATCATCTAGGAATCTTTTTTTAAGTTCAGGTAGGATGTATTATGAAATAATGTTATTAACAATTGGTTTTATTTTGTGTTTCCACTGTCATTCTTTTGCCATTTCTTTAGATGTTTTTATCACTTGAACCCTTTATTAATACTTTGTTAGTATTAATAAAACAAAACATCAACAGAAATAGCATATACACACACAACTTTAATGCTGTGCTTGTTACTAACTAACTTGCTCAACTTTTAAACTTTTCATTTTACTAAAAATACTGTACAATGAATGTTTTTGATAGATTTGAAAATTTTGGATTTTTATCTGTAAATTTACTTTTTTAAATTTAGTTTATCATTATCTATCGTTTAAAAAATGTTTTTAGAACATTGACTAATCATCTTTGTGTGCATGTTGTGTATAGATATTGGACTTGAGTGCTACAGAGAGTCAGCGTTTCACCATCAGACAGTTGCCAATAGGTGAGATTTGTAAATTGTTTACTGATATGATTTTTTTTTTTAAAGCAGATTGAAATGAAAAGTATTCTCTATTTGATAACATTATACAGCCTGTTTTAAATTAAAGAATGACAAATAACTTTCTATTTTGACATTGGTTCTGACTCATCCCTAGTAGAATTGCCCTTGTTTTTCCTACCTGGCAACTGAAAACTTAAACTAAAAATACGTTCACAAATCTCTCCATGTATTGCAGAGTTTCACCGAATCAACAACGTTAACCTGCGCAATCAATTCTACAAGGAGCTGGACAGACACATGCCTAAACTCATCTCCTTGTTCAGAGACAAGGCCACCAAGACTGTCAAGACAGCGGAGGAGCTAGCCAAACTCATGAGGATTTATGACCTTCAGGTGAATTTTAAACTTAACATGATTCAGAAACAGATTATTTACAAATTATATTCAGACAACTATAAGAAACCATAGTGAATTGCCTGGACTGTGCCCTGAGGCTAATAGATTATTTCATGAACAACATTGTCATCTCATCAGAGATAGACATCCTGACAAGATGTATTCTATCAGAAAGAGGTACCTTTAAAAGATACTTTCAGATTCAATTTGAAGATATCCAAATAACTACTGTCTGTATTAATGAAATTTTGTTTACAATTTTAAGTTTTGAGTTCCTTTTTTGTGTTATTCAAGTATTTACAATAGAAAGTAATTTATTTGAAAAATGTTTTAATGAAGAAATGGTGAACCAAAAACACTGAATCTACCATTCTATAGCAAAGACCACCATCAGAATATGGAGCTATTTAACACTTTTCTTTTATTTTTTTTAAGTGTTTGTTCTGCATTTGTGTAATTACTTTTGTAATGCATATTTTTTTTCCATCTAGCAACAACGTGATGTAAATATGAGACGGGACCTCATCCTCGGTGCACTTCCTGTCTACCTGCATGAAGATTCTTTAAGTTCTTCAGGACCTGTAATGTAAGTGTACTGTCCTCACTATCAATCCCTTTGCCTTGCTATTCGGTCAGCTTAAACATATCTCTCTAAAAACTATAGGAAAACCAGGCGGTTATTTCAGAAAGCAGGTTATGTGAAAACTCTTGACTTATCCATTCCAGAGGGCTATTCCAGAAAGGAGGTTCAACAAACTCTAACCCTGAACTCTGAGTTGACTTACCCTGAGTTTTTAGTTGCAGAATAGCTGATCTGAGTTAAGTAATTCAACTCCGAGTATGTTAACTCTTGAGTTGAGCTTGTGCTTCACAAGCAGTATAAAGCCATCAATGGAGCTCTGATACTGTGTTTCTCCATGGCAATCAGGAAGCATAGATTTAACTTAATCTCTGGGTCTGTTACTGTGGTAACTTACGTTGTGAACCTAAAGATTTGCTTGAAGAAACCCTGAGTCTTACGTAGCTGCCTGACAGTAGCTGTCCTTTCTTTTTCAGTCCAATCATGTTGAAGCAGAAATAATTCACATAGTTTGATTAATTTTGATGAGCTCTCACTCCCTGACAAGGACTGAACCGAACAGTTGACCGCTCTCTCATCAGTCCACAATTTATTTACTTCGGCCCTACAGTGAAATTATCAGACTACACGTCATTGCTGATGTGCTCTCAGATCAGAACGATCGTCTTTGTTTTAGCTTTTTTTTTTCACCAGCTGGCAGAAAAAGAGAAATAACTAATAATACTATAATAATAATGTTTTAGAGTACCTAACTCAGATCAGCTATTCTGCAACTGAAAACTCATGGTAAGTCAACGCAGAGTTCAGGGTTAGGCTTAGAGTTTGTTGAACCTCCTTTCTGGAATAGCCCCCAGGACCTGAGTTGTTATTCTTAAGTAAACTGTTATTCTCAAGTTATTATAAATGAAAAGGTAAGTATAAAGCTTTCCACAAAAAGTATGCCAACAGATAGGTGTGAAAATAACATAAGATATAAGCATATGTAAAGAAAATAGTTTAAACATGTGGCTTAGTAGTAGTCTAAGTGCCAGTAATGTTTAGAGATCATTGGCATGATTTGTATCCTTGAGGGGCTAAACTCATTCTTGTATTATTTGTGTTTTATAGTCAGGAGTTGGTCCAGACCTCACCGATACTCCAGTGTCTCTCCTGACAGTCGTAACAGATAACACTACTGATGCAGCCCTCTTCTGCCCTGAGAGTATCTGTCGTGAAGGATAAAATACTTGCAAGCTCCTTTTGTGTCTTTTTAAAAGCACATTGTTGAATAAAAAAAGTTGCTAAATTGTCACAGTGGTGTCACTTCATCTTTTCTGACATTATTAGCTGAGTAAAATTGTGTAGTTGGCTGACATCAGGATTTTAGTTTAGAGTAAATGTTGAGTGCATATCCCACTTTATGAGTAGAAAACTATAGGACATTTAGTGCATTTCCTACATTATGAGTTTAAGAAAAGTGAAAATTGAGTATATATCTGACATTTTATGAGTTTAAGAAAAGTGAAAATTTTGAGTGTATTTTCAACATTTTATGATTTGAAGATAATTGAAATTTTTGAGTGAATTACTCACTAATTTTAAGTTGAGAAATATCAATATTTTTAAGTTAACATTGAGATAATTTAAGGCAACATTAAATATAACTTTTAATTTAAGTTAACTTAAAACTTTTAAAAACATCACTCAAATATTTTTGTGTAATCTGTTACAAAATAATTTTTGAGTTCTGTGAACTTATCCGGGTTTACAGTGTAGATATGCGCGTCGCCGCAGTGGCGCGTGCAGCTGGGCGACTATCCGCACTGTGTGTGTACCATGAGCGCTCCGACTGACCTGAGAGAAAAGTTTACAGTCCGAATATTTCAGCAGTTCTTATGTGTGTCCCGTATTTCTGTCGACTGAACCAGCGATATTAATCATTCGTTGGTTTGGTTATTTCCTTGAATTGGCCAAATGCGCGTAACAGTCTGAAACGATTCGGATTTGTCCACCTGAAGCGGTTTCTCGGTCAGTAACAGCGAATAGAGAACAAAATAGCGCTGGTTTTAGTCGTTTCACTAGTTTACTTTGAATAGGCAGCACGGTCCAGTGGATAACGAAACGCAAGCTTAAAGGAGTTGTGTTTACTCCCGGTCCCGGACACTTATTAAACAGCGTTGCGACATCCAGTAAGAAGCGTTTTAATCGGACACTCCTCTCTCTTACAAACTACAAATCACTCAATGATTTTAACTAGTTTTAAATCGGATGAAACAGCCTTAACATTCCCAACACTACTGATGAGGTAAATAGCAGAAACATGAACAAAATTAGAAGACTAAATGCCCTAACCACCATCCTTACAAACATTAACCATGTAATAGCCTATGAATGTAATAATTTGCATGGTTTGGGGATAAATGTGGAATATTTATATTGAATAGCCTACTATGTTATAGTCATTTATATTGCATAGATTTATTAAGGGGGTAGAGAAATAGGCCTATATAATTAATTGTGTGTATAGTTTTTTTTTGTTTGTTTGTTTTTTGCCTGTTTAGGCATTTTTTATACAGTTGTAGTGAGCCATGCATGGTTACAAAATCTCACTGTTAGGATATTTTAATTTAAGCCTATAATAATTATTATAGTAAATTGTGTACACTGTAATGCTGAGAAGAATATGAAAACAATGAGATGCCCTGTCAACTCTTCCTTTCTCATTTCACCTCTGCATTTCGCTTATTGTCAACAACAGGTTAATAAAAAAAAAATTGTGCTTTGTCAAATATCTGTATCTCTTAACTGACCTTAAAAATGGTCAAACATAATTTGTTAATACATAAATTCTCTCCGTGATATATGAACTAAATGGGCCTAATGTTTATTGGGTCACAAGGATTTATCGACTTTAAAATGTGGGTCCCCAGAAAAATAGTTTGGGAAACACTGCTTTAGACCTTCAACAGTTAAAACGTTTACTCTATAGTAGTTTAACACATACGATTTAAACACAAGGAACCGTGTTTACTCACATTTGAAAACCCCCTGCTTCGCTCATCTCCGCGATGTTGATAATGACGAATGCTCTCCCGTGGCCTCCTGGGATAGAAGAGTATCCATCGGATGAACACTCAAAAATCTTGGCGAAAGCAGGAGATCATCCGGGAACTTCTCGCCTACTCTTTTATGAGTACTGAGGTTTCGGACATACTACTCCTTTCAAATACTGTTTTCCCCTACTATATAGTACGAAAGTAGGAATATTCGGACGTACTATAAGTTTACGTATGCCCGAATCTCGCGATAATTAGTACGTCACTCTGGTAATTCTCGCCTACTCTTTATGAATACTAAGGATTCGGACATACTTATTCGCTCGCCTACTGCTTTTTCCCTACTATATAGTAGGGAAGTATGCGGTTTCGGACGCAGCCACTGTCTCCGAATGAAATCGCTCTGAAAACCCAGAACAATAATTTTGACAATACATTTGATAATATATATCTGTGTCATTCTGTTAGTTCACCTCACCTCCTGATCCGAGACGTTCATTCTTTTGCAACTTCATATTTATCAGGTTTGTTCTCCTCATCTCGTGTCGTTAGTTGTTGACTCGTCAGTGTCTGACTCTGATCTGTGCTGTCTGCTGGACCGTGCCGTGTCGTGTGTGATATACAAAATGATTAGTTCATCTCTCGAGTCTGGAGTTCGGGATCGGCCAGGTCTGAGTCTTTCGTTCTTCCTGTCAGTCCCATCGAGACTATGCTGAGTCCTGAAACTGCAGCCTCGGTTGTGTTATCTCTACGGCTCTGGGAAACGGTTGAGGAGCCGACCAATCAAAAGTTCTCAGCATGCTCCTCTCATGAATATGATTAAATACTTGCTAACTACATTATTTATTCATATATACACACTACTATCATTAAATATATAGACAAACTAACTTACATTTCTTATATAAGTAATGTAAGTTAAGTTTCTCTGCTTTTCTTTTAACATTTGATGCATAGCCTATTGTTTGTCATAACTAACCAGCGCACAGAAAGCCTGTAGCTTGAATAGGATCAAATGTTCATTCCTCTAATGGCAGATCTGGTTATTACATAGTGATGATTGAACCATCCTGTATATGACTGTACAGACACACTGCCAGTCTCCGTTCAGAATCGATTGGTTCACGGAAATTGGTGGTCTTGTTTTTAATATGTGGCTCCAGAATCGCTAGCAAAGCATCAAATTGTCCCGCTGACATTCTGAGGTAAATTTTGAATCGCTCAGGATAAATTCGCAACTCCTTGATAAGGAACTCCTTCCTCTCGGCGCAATTTCAGGATTGGATGGATATTTTCTCTTTCTTCTCTTTTCAATATGAGAGAGGGCAAAAATCATCCTCACTGCTTGACGAATCCATTCGGTATTTTTGCGTTTTTTCCCGCAAAGGTTTAATAAATACGCAACGGACTCGGTGTGCAAGGTTTATGCGTGACGAATTTTTAGGCTGACGTACAGGAAAATACGCATACGAAAATTTCGTACTCAGTGTGCAATGGCCTTAAATATCGGGATAGCGTTTTCAACCGTGGAAAGAGCTAATGCAGCAGAAAGATTTCAGAAGAGACGCTGAAGTTGCCTGCTTTCTCCTCAAAAGGTTAGTCAATGTTACAGCCTGACTTAATTTTTTTGTCATTGCTTGGTTGTGTACTTTATTATATAGACAGTATAACATTTATAGGTAAAAAAAGTTAAACAAGGTCTTTGATGAATAGCAGCTATTGACTACTTTACTCGCAGCTATTGTGAAGTAAGGTGCTAAAAACAAGGTTTGTAAGTTAATTCTTTATAACCTATAAATTCAGTAAGAATATAGAGATAATGATTGTAAGAAAATATTGAAGAAAATATTGCTCTCTGTAAGATTTTCTATAGCTTTCTTTTTTATATATAAATGATCAATTAGCTAAAATTGTGATTTTGCTATGTCGATAAGATTGTACAGAGAATTAAAATTAATTTATACAGCTAGACACATAAATTGTACACATAAGTTGCTGTTTTTTTTAAGTTACAAACCTGTTCACCTGGAGAAAAACTCGATGAAGTGTTACTACAAGACATCCTGTCATAGCATTTTTGGTACATAACGGCAACCGTAGATGCAATACGCACTTGAAAAAGCGAGGCACTGGAGAGCAAAATTCGTTTGAATGCAAAATACTATTTAACCACTAGATGGGGGTAATTCCTACACAGAGTCCCTTTAAAGTTTTTTTGTTGTCCAGCCAATTAAATGATAGGTTGGACACTGATAATTTGCCAAGTGGTTGTCATAATGAATATATTTATTTACATAAATAAAATTTAGCTCAAACTTGACCTTTATTCAGAAGTTAATGTATTCTGCCTTTGCATTATCTGCAGAACAATAATGTGCCATACAAAGGCAAAATACCTTGACTTCTAATTTATAGACCATTTTGAATTTTATCACTCTATTCAAACATTTCTATGATAACAATGATGGCCTTAAAATAAGATTTAGTGAGTTCTGTCTAGTAAGGTTTAATATTACATCAATAGAATATTAAAAAATAAAAAATAATGAGAAGGCTATTATCTGTACTGGATCATGTTAAAACTTTATCGTTTTACTTAATTTAAGTAAAATAACACTTTAAGAGATAGGGAAGTTACCTGTTTAACCGGAACAATTTCCTAGTGGTTGCTGTAAACCGGACATCTGGTCCCCCTAGCCTAACTGTCACGGTGTAGTACGGGTGGAAGAAGGAATCCGAGAGAGAGTGCTCCAATTCTAACATTTAATAAAGAAACTCCAAGGACCGGGTACATACAGGAAGGCGGGTAGGGAATCCACAAAACACAGCAAACACTTACATCGACTGACAAAGACTGAATGGAACTGAACTGAACTAAATACACAGAAGGATTAAGCTAAATGGAGTGGAAACAGGTGAAACAGATGATCAAAACGAGGAACAGGTGGCTGATGAGGGAGTGAGTTCAGGAGAGGAGACAAAAGGATCCTGGGAAGTGTAGTGCTGATGACAAGACTGACTGGTGCAGACAGAGGACTGTGACACTAATGCCGAGTTCAGACTGCATGATTTTAGCCACGATTTTGGCTCGCCGACAGGTTTTGAGAAATCGCCGACAAATGCCCGAAATCACAGGCAAATCGGCGCTCGTTCACGCGAGTGACAATCACGCAGTGTGAATGAGCAAAGATGCGAACTGAGAGAATCACCGACGAGTCGCCGACGCCCGCTAAATATCTGGACCTGGCGGCGATTC